GAAAAATTAAAAAGATATTAGAGTTCATAGAAGATATATAGTTTTTTTAATTAAAAAATATTATATTAAATAACATATACTATATATATATATATATATATATATATATATATATATATATATATATATATATATATATATATATATATATATATATATGAGACCTGTGTAACAAATATATTAACTAAATAATCCGAATATCTTAATAAAGATAAAAAAAATGAAGGAAGGGTGTCAATTCCTTTCGCGTCTTCGCCTTCGTCTTCCTATTTATGGTCAAATGTCGATAATATCCACAGCCTCAACAATAGAATTCCCACCGGTTATAATATATAGGATATGGCCTCAAGCTCATCCTTTGTGCTTTCCGTCAACCGAAACCCTAAGGAGCCGTACCATAGACAAATAGAGAGAGAGAGAGATGGCAGAAGATTTCCACACAGGGATATGCAGCGAAGGTTGCTGGTGGAACCCTAAAGGGAGGGCGAGCTTTGACGCGCAGGCATCCACGTGCTCAACTGCAGCAGCTGAGATCGAAGGAAGAGCCTTTAGCTGGGCATCCTGCGGTGAGGCAGCAGGATCGGCCGGTGGCAGCTCGATGATCTCTCAAGAAACTCATGAGGTCCAACACTCTGACGTTTGCCCCTCTTTGATCATCGATTCAACCACGCCAAGCTTCAGCCTCTCGTCTTCCTCCATGAGTTGGACTAAATCCTTACTGTACGTATCTAATGCATGCTTAATTTCTAGATCACGTTCTTGATTCCATGTAGTTGGAGATCCTATATCGTTGATTATATGTAGCTTAATGAAATAGGAATAGTGTAAGACCTGAAGGCAGTTTCCATGCCATGCTCCAAGAGGATCCTGGTTCAAGACCTTGTATCAGGCAACACCCACCTGTTGATTCAAATCAAGTTCATACAGGCGCTGAAAGTTCGATAGCTAATCCATTCAGTGACATCGACCACACTTGCTTCTTAGATCATCATCATCATCATCATCATCATCATTTCAGCTCCGGTAAAGAGTTCAGCGATGTTGGTGTTGCCAGTTATCACTTTCCGGCCTCCTATGGATACTCATCAGTGATGTCGCAAGACGAATCAGGCATTCATGACAGTGGAGTGATGAATCGCTACCAGTCTCCATTGGTTGCCTATCAAGGAAGCTCGAATGAACAAAGGCAACCTTCGTGGGCTAAATTCTCTCAGCTGCTAAAATCCCCACTTTCTAAACAACAGTCGCAGTTCACTAACAACACTCTCTTCTGGAACGCTTCCGCTGCTGCCTCGGTTGGTGATGTGAAGTCGATCTTGTGTTCTCCAACACCTTCGCAATTTGTCATGCAGCCACAAACTACGTGCGGTAATCTCGCTGCCTGTAGGGTAAGCATCATTACTAATATATGATCTATATATTTCTGATCATTGAGGTTTTGGAAACCAAGTGGCTTTTATCATGCTTATTATCTACACAGATAAGTCCAGGAGGAGTTCAGGACTCATGTTCTTCCTCCACCAAGAAAACCGGAAGCGAGTCTGCAGTCAAAAAGCCCCGGATAGAAACACCTTCGCCATTGCCAACCTTTAAGGTAGGGATAGACTCATCTCGGATTTTGATCAATGGCATTTGGTCTTTCACATGTACGCCAGCCTTCAGATTAATTACATGTTTGCAGGTGAGAAAGGAGAAATTAGGGGACAGAATCACTGCTCTACAGCAGCTAGTTTCGCCTTTTGGAAAGGTAAGTTCTCTTTTCTTCTTTCTTCTTTCCTTTGTTTCTTTTTCGTTATCTTTTTGTTCTCTTGAAGAACATGTCTATCTACATGTGTGTCTCTCAGCTACTCACATGCCCTTTTTGCTTTATAACTGAAATGTTCCTCTTTCTTTATCTTTCAGACTGACACTGCATCGGTTCTCCAAGAAGCCATCGAATACATTAAGTTCCTTCATGATCAAGTCGGTGTAAGCCTCTTCATCTCTGTTCTCTTATACAGAATCGTTCTTGGACTAATAACCCATCCGCAGTGACTAAATACGTCGTTGAACTTCAGGTTCTAAGCAGTCCATACTTGAAAGATGGACATCCCATGCAACACCAGGTACTAAATTATGTTCCTTCTTTTTCTTTGAGCCAATCTCAACTTATGCTGATGATTATTCTGTGTAGCAAGGGATGGTGGAATTACTCACGCATAAGTAACTTCTTAATGCAGATATCGAGCAAGTCCAAGGATTGCGATGAAACGAAGCAAGACCTCAGAAGCCGAGGACTGTGTTTGGTTCCTATCACAAGCACGTACCTGGTGGCAAGCGAGACCACAGCAGACTTCTGGCACCCTACATTTGGAGGAAGCTTCAGATAGAGAGGAGTACAGGGTGCTGAGGATTGTTACGATGAAACATCACTACCAGCCATAAAGTTTCAGAATGTCAGGCAAAGAAAGACAGGGACTTGTATATGAGGAGGAAATTAAGAAACAAGGATTGTATGTTCTTTCCGAACTTTTATCAAACAGGAAGGAAATTAAGAAGAAGAATTACTTGGTAATAAAAGCATGGATGGGGAGAGTACAAAGAAAAGACGGACATCGGGATAACTGCAGGAGAAATGGACGCTGGCCACACTCAGGGAGAGAGAGAGAGAGAGCTCTGGAAGTAATAATTATAGCAATTATGTATTACATAAAGGTGGCCAAAGTGTAAGAACAGGCGCAACATTTAACAGAAGGGAACAAGGAAAGGTGACTGGCAAGAGGATGGTGGCTCTTGTTGTTGTTCCTTGTGTTCATAAGTGGATGCCACCAGCCAGCCAATTCATACCTCCTCTTTTTCTTATGATAAAGAAGTTTATTTTTATTGAGGAATAATTGCGTTAATGTTTGACTTATTTATTTGCATTCTCTCATGCTGGTGGTGGTGATGGGAATCACAGATCGGTCTGCTTAGAATCTCTTTCTTCTTATTTTTCTTATAATTTAGTATCGAGATTGGGAGAACGCCTTCACGGTTTTGCAGGATCTCACAGTCCTGCAACACGATTTATCAGCGAGATCAGCCAGCACAAGATTTCTCGAGCCGCGAAGCTACAACGTATGATTTCTTGCGCTCGACGTCTCCGTCGAGGCGAACGATTCTTCCACTTGCGACAGGATTCGATTTCCTCCCGCAGTGAGGTCCAGTGTCCCGGTGGAGTTATCGAGTGACGCGCGTCTGTCGGCAACCCATGCCACTGCCAAATCCACCAGATGGAAGGCACCTGTTCACTCAACTCCGAGCGTCTCCTGCGGTGAGGGAATTAAAGAGGCCGAAATATGTGCAGAACATATTTCTATCCATTAAGTCGTATTGATTTCCTTGTGTGAAGCTTTCGGAGTAATGCTTGATCTGTCTATGTAGATAAATATTGAGGAAGAAACGAGTTAGATGAACCAATTGATCATTCTATCTAGATGATCAAAGACTTTAAAATTGCTCTTCAGTGCTCGATCAATGATAGCTTAACCATTGCATCATGTCGGGTCTTACGTGTTCGTTCATTTGTACTCTTAGTATTCTTAGCAGAAGAAAGAGATGCTGCATATTGCAAAAGTAATATAACATAGAGGTTGAGTATAACATTTTCGTCAGGTTGGATGAAATTTCTTTGCAGTACCCCTACGATGGTGGGGTTGCTGAAATCTTTCGCAAGTGCTAAAATTGAACTCCCATTTAACATCCAGATGTTGAACAGGCACATTATCAACTATAGGCACATCACATTCAACGATGATTGTTGTAATCATTACAAAAACAAGAAGAACTCCATGGTCAATTGCTGATAGTGAAGACCAGTAACGTAATAATATGTACATGGTTCCTGGAAAACATTACAAATTTTCCACAAAATTCACTGTAATTTTAACGGCCTTCGAGTTCGGTCATTGTGATCTCACTGGGAGAGCAATCTTCTCCTATGGAAGTCCGAGTGACATAGAAACCAGGCCGATTAGGTTGAGGTAGCATGACCGATTCACTGCTTAGCATCAGAACTACCTCTCCCATTGTTGGCCTGTCTTCGCTCCCTTCTTGCACGCATAATAAACCAACTTGGAAGCACCTGAACACTTCAGACACAGGGTAAGAGTGGCCGATTGATTCTTCCAGCAGCTCCAAGCATCTACCTTGTTTCCACAGCATCCAAGCCTACAGAAATCAATTTATACATTTGAGTTTTGCAGTGCTGAATACTAAATTTATGATCTTATGTAGAGAACACGCAGATACCGACATGTCCTAACAGATTTATACGCTGATCTGCCTGAAGGACCACATTATTCTTCTTGCCACTCAAGATTTCCAGTAGCATTACGCCAAAGCTGAAAACATCTGATTTCTCTGAAAAGAGCCCGCCCATCGCGTACTCCGGGGACATATATCCACTGCATGTGATCAAGAATTTTAGCTAATCATTTAATATTATAGTTGAAACATTTTAGTGTAAAACTCACCATGTTCCCACTACTCTCTTTGTGTTCCCCTCGGTTTGGCCTGCTCTGAATGTCCTTGCTGTGCCGAAGTCTGAAATTTTCGGATTCATCTCATGGTCAAGGAGAATATTGCTGGCCTTCAGATCTCTGTGAATGACTCTCAACCTAGAATCTTGATGAAGATAAAGAAGCCCACGAGCAATCCCTATTATGATGTCAAGGCGCTTTTGCCAATTCAATAGACTGCTCTTTCTTTTATCTGCTGAATATTCGATTTGGTTGGTCAAAGAGAATAAAGGTGATGCTTATGAACGAGTTGCTGTCTCATGAGATTGACACCACATAAGAATCCAAGGTTAGATCCTTACACATGAGATCCAATAAAAGATCATCTATATAATGATGGTATAAGCAGCAATCTTAATTGGTCTGCAACCTACAAACTGAAATTCACTTTTTGCCTGCTTCGGATTTGATTGAAAATGAAAAGATATAATTTATGGTATACTCTTTTCATTCACTCTGCAACAGGTGTACGGAAAGTCAAATATTGGACCAGAATGTTCTGTTATGCATAGATTTATTTAGGTACTCTCTTTATCTTCTTTTATGCATTCTTCCATACTAAGATGAAGATCATTTTGAATGAGTTCTAAGCATATTAAAGAAGAACAAAGCATATAATTTTCCTTTTGTCAACATCCTAAGGTTGTAAGCTACTTTAAATGGTTTTGTATCAACAATCTACCAATTAAACGTGTGCAGGGACCCTACCTAGTCCTTGTGCTAATTATCCAATTAAATAAGTGGTATGCATAATGAGATATGACGGACACAAAATATGTTGTGAAGACTATTTAATGTACCTTTGCAAATGTCTGAATTATCGAGTTGATACATTTAGTTTCTCACCATGACTACCCTATCATATTCTAACAATTTGGTATGAAATCTATCTTCAAACAAAACGTGGCAATTCAAAAATAGTTGAAGGATCATAAAAGACAATTGCAACTATAAGGAAATAAGCATAGTAGACTAATTTACAAGGTACACAATAAGAAATTAAACAAGTTTCCAAACGACTACTCAATAACTCATAAGCAATTACCCAAAGTTATCTAGTCATCCTACAAAGTGATAATTATGAGACTCTCAGGCTCATGCTAGAGTCAATCAAGTCATTGTAGTAATAATCCAGCTTGAAATCCCATGACATGCATGATGACCACCAACACCAGAGTTTGTTAATAATTCTATGTATACTGATCTAAGACATACATACACATGCATTAACAAGCAGTGCAGGATAAATGCAATGGTGTGGATTTTGAGGCCAAACCGAATATGAAAGCATCCAAACTTGTATTTTGCATGTACTCATAGATCAGCATTCTTTCCTCATCCTCAATACAGTAGCCAAGTAAGCGGACAAGATTCCGATGTTGAAGTTTGGCAATTAACATAACCTCAGTTTTGAACTCATCTATGCCTTGAATGGAATTTTTGGACAACCTCTTGACAGCAACTTCGTGCCCATCTTCCAACTGACCCTGCAATTTTAGACATAGAATATTAGTTTCAGAATACGGTTCTTCTAAAAAGCATACGATACACAATAATTAGATTCATAATCAAATTCCCAGTGATTGAAAATGTTACCTTGTAAACAGGGCCAAACCCACCCACACCTAATATCTTGTCTACGGAGAAGTCATCAGTGGCAGCTTTGATTCTACGCACATCAAATAAAGGCAACTCTAACTCGCTTTCTTTGCTTCCAATGGAGTGAGAACTCATCACTTTACCTGACTCATAGATTGGAAAATAATAAGTTAACTAAGTCCTCCAAATGTTTTCAGAGCTAACAAGTAATCACCCATTGATGCTGTTAATAGATGAAGAAAACTTTCATCCAAAAATAAGCAAATAGTTTTCCAGTGTCCTGTTATTCTTACAGGCTTTTAATCATCTGCATACAAGTTGAGATAAAAAAAATGTCTGCATCAAGCCATAGAAGAGAAATCACCACTCAAATTAAAACTACAGTATCCACTCTTAAGGAAGTGAGTACAAGGACATCATTGTCATAAATGGAGCACTAAAGAATCCTTTGGGTCAAATAATTGGGCACCACCTTCAGAAGGATTAAAATCCAAAATCTTTCCAAGAGAAAGGTAGGTCAAATAATTAGGCACCATCTTTTTTTTCTTCTTTAGTGTCCTGTTTTAAGGTGGGGTGACGGAAGAGAGTGATTGATTTGCAACGCTGCAATCATAGTCAAAACAATCAGATAGACTACCAGGAAGACTGCAACTCAAGGCAGACAAGATGGTCTACTCTCTTAATTTTTTAATATGCAAGCATCAACTCTAGGACATGGAAACGAACATAGAACCTAAATAAAACTAGATAAGAGTGTAAATACTTTTGCAATCCATGTTTTCTAGTGTGAAGCAGTGAAAACTTATGCATGAACTCTGCAGTTTAGATACTTGATAAGATAAAGAAGATAACTTCTTCAAATATAATTTAGCTTTAGTGTTCCTTTTTACAAAAAAAAAGAAAGTATGATCATCGTCAAGGTCAAACAAAAAGAATTATCCTGAACACCTAATAACTATTATCTTTCGTCATATATCTAAGATATTCAGATAGCAGTCAAGGAAGAAAACTTCTATAAGATTGTTACAGCAAAATCATGCAGACATTGAAAATCAACAAATGATGTTTGAGGCAATACTTTAGGCAAGAAAAATGTCCTAGTGTAAATAAAGTTCAAATTACATATGAGCAAATAATTTTCAGCAGTTTCTTGCAAGGAATTTTTGTTCCCATGCAACACACACGCAAAAGAAAGAACAAAAAATAATACATTTCCTAGGGGATTCAACAATGACGACCATGTTTACTGTGTGGTTCTTGTTTGTACAAACATCAGGTAAAATATTATCTAACTTTCCAGACTATTGTTCATTGATTTTGGATCAACTTTGGAACAAGAAGAAAATATTCATTTACACTAGATACAAATTAGTACAAGCAAATATAAAATAAATATACCATGGTTCCTTCTTCTTCTTCTCTTCAACCATAAAAGCAAAGCAACACACAGCAACAGAAGAGAACTCAGAACAGGAATAGTGACCGCAATCGCCAATCTTATCTTGTTGCCAGAATTACTTATTGAATCTGCAAAGGAAGTTAAAACTAGAACTTTTATCAAGGGTACATTAGTTTCTACTACACAGTACTCAGCTAAATTGTTTTATACTACGTACAATCATTGTTATATTCAACGATTTTAAAGTATATCAGTGGAACTTCCAATGAGCTAAGAGAGGAGGATAGAAAGTTGAATTTCAACTGGGAAAATAAGGTACCACCTTCGACTACTCGATCAACTATCAAGGTTCTAATCATTGGCCTCTATGCCTACAGAGTCTTTCCATACAGAAAGTTAGCAACAACAAGAGTGGAGAAAAAATTGCAATGTAGAAACGAGAACATTTCCCCAAGATTCCCAAGTGAATTCTTAAAGCACTAGAGATGGAAGAGCATATTCATGGCATGACTACTTATCCAAGTATAACAAAAAGTGAATAATCTAGAACAGTTACTACCTAATTGTATATAATAAGAAAACACTGATAGTTGTCCACATGATGGTGGTTTGGTTCGCTAATCGGTAACCCTTTTACTTCCTCATCTTTGGAAACTGAACTGCAAAACAATTCTGTTCCTTGACTTTCATGACAGGAAGTTCAGTTTTTACAATGTATGAGATCCTAGTTCTATTTATCTAAATTCTTTCTAGGTTGGAAGATGTAAATTATTGAACTGAAACCAATTCATTTCCTGTGATATGAGTCTTCTATATTAAGAATTACCTGGTCCTGTATGTCCTTTACTAATGAGCAACACTTCACAAACGCTTTGTTCCAAATTTCCAAGTAAAGACTTTCTTTCTGTTTCAATGTTGAATTTTCTTACCTAATTCAGAAGCTGCAAGCCGAATGTACAGATCATCACCTCCTTCTATAAACATCCTAATATCGACAAGATCACTAAGCCAAGTTATACACATACTCTCTCCATTCAGAGCATATGCCAAGCAAGAACAATTCTTCAAGCACAAGTCCTGGCACTCATTTAGAGTCTTGTTGCTCTCAGTGCTGGCATTTGAAGTATCAGGCAGCTTCACATTTTGCAAAGGAAAAAAACCATCGGTTGAACAATTTAAACCTGTTCGCCTAACACAACCATCTGAATTCTCTCTAAGATCCCAATCTTTAGGTGACTTAGGAGTGAAGCCCTGCAGACATTGGCATCTAGGTGAGTAGATGGTGGTGCACATCCCATTAGCTCCACATGTTGCGTATTGATCGCAGGGGTCTTCCGGAACCAACCAGAAAAGATCCCATCTATTGCTTGCAGTAGACCACACCAAGCGTTGCAGTACACCACTCGCATCAAGAACTGCCCGGCAATGAACAGACTTGTTCAAGCTTTCAAATGTATAGTATACCTCATGTTGGTTCATAACAAAGTGGAACCGGAGGACACCATTTGTCCACATGTCAGGACGGCCACTCCAACCTTTTCCATTCCATGGTCCAGTGCGAAAGGTCCGAGAAGATCCTTCCCATATATAGACTTCTGGTACTCCATGAGGATCCATCCCATAGGAGTAGTTCCCTGGAGAAGGGTCCGAACTACTCTTCCACGATATAAGGTGTCTGTCTAGCTTGGCAGAAAAATCCAATCCAATCTTCATGCCTGCCAGAAATGTGTCAGATGGATGATCAAAACTTTGCCATAATATGCTCTTAGGGATTCCTCCTGTCAGGATGAGATTTCCTGAGTCTGAAAGCTGAAGTAATGGATAAGTAGCATTCGATGTATTCGTTGACCATAAAATATTTGCATCTTTGTTGAGCAGTAGTAGATTTCCATCAGCAGTAAGATTCAATATTCTCACGGAGCCATTCAGTGGAGTGTCCCTGTTGGCAACCCATACTATTGGTTGATCTGGGATTTCCTTATACCATATTCCCAGGTACCACTCGCTCGAATTGCCTGGTCTGAAGAAGCCCAGTTCAAAGATTCCTCCAGCGGAGGTTAAGGTTTGGTTGTCACTGAGAGGTGTGCTTGAGGTTAGTGTGTCGCCTGCAGAGAGAGGAGAGAAGACAGAAAAATAATATGAGAATATATTGGAACTTGGATTGTCATGCTCACCCAACAAAAATGCATTTCTAATCGATCTTCTGAGATCAAGCCACACAAGCATGACAAGTTCACGAAAGCAAACAATCTAATGGCCATCTGTTCTAAAGAGCATGGTTGAGAATCTTTTCTAGATAGACTGCATCAAAACAGAGCTCCCATGTCAATAATATCATTTGGTTGAAGTTTACTTGCATTCTTGCATAGTAAACACAAAATACCACATGGTCTAAATTGTTGATGCGAACCTTACATTGTAGTCTGGGATCGTACCATGATAAACTGCAGAAGTTTTGAGACAATAGAAACCAACAACTATAGTAATAATACAATTGCGCCTCAAAATCAAATCATGTAATATTTATCATTGAGAAGATAAATTAACACCATTAGGCTATTTATTAGAAGTAATAACATGTGTTTAACCCTCGCCATTCTATTATGTATCACATCAAAAGCTCGCATCTTTGATCCTAATCATCACGAATTCGTCAATCTATTCCTAAGAATTGCCTCCAATTTTGGAGATTTTTCTAACTAGAATCCGAGGTTCGAATCAAAAGAAATTAAAGAAAGATAGGGGTGGGCATGCAAATTTTAGGTAGGTTTAGCAATGATAGGTAAGGGATAATATCGAGAACAAAGAACAAAGAACGAGTGAGTTATGATGAAAACATACCTTCAACTCTCAAGAAGGCGAGACCTTGACCTGAAAAACCCTATCGAGGAAGCTGCAGAAATATCAAGAAAACACAACGCAAAAGAACAAAAGGAAACCCTAACATTTCTGGTCTCCACTCACCACTCTCATTTTCATCTCAACATCTCCCATTTCGATCCCCTCATCGGCGACGGGGTCGGTTGAGGATACGGACCGCAGTCGATGTTTGGAATTTGATCGGACCGAATCGAGATGGCTCCACTTGACCCACGACTAACTCTAGTCGGAAGTTGGCGTCATGACCGAAGCTACAGGCTAAAATGTCAAAACGGACGTTGCACGTTTCGCTAGAGAACAAAAGTAGTTGAATTATTTCACTATACTGGTTTTCTCGAAGCAACATGGCGGTCTCGGTTTTCTACTGTGGAAATGGTGGCCATGACGATGGGAAGAAACTGTTCTGTGACTCGTGCAGCTATTAATTACTGGTAATCCAGTCAACCACTTTGAACATGCACTTTGAAAATGGGCCAAATTGGTGGTGTCATAGTCAAGCTGACGGACGCAGCTGGACATAGCGGTTTCATGCAACTAAACAAATTGGTCGTTTGTCTTTTTGTTCCTTTTCAAGGGAAGTTTGGTGTTCTTTCTAAGATACGCACCCATCAGAAGGCCAACAAGAACGCAGGTTGGTTGACTAGGCTGGATATTCACATTGGCATTATTGGATTCTTGCTACACTGGCAATGGAACTCCCAAAAAATAGGACAAATAGGCCAAAGTCAGCTAACTGCTCGCTGATGCCTCCATTTTATGGCATCATCGCATCCACATAATACCTCCAAGCTGCTTGCTCAAGTTTCCTCATCAAAGAAGAGAAAGGGAAAGAGAAAAGCTTGATCAAGCCCTAGATTAGTTAAACGAAAGGGAAACCGGCATGCCTTGTGCAAGCCTCTAGCACTTCTTTGGATGCTCACCTCCTTGTAAGAAATGGGAAGAAAGGTATCATACTACTGTTTCATGTGATTGCCTTACTGCTTGTAATTGTAAGCTAACTACTTCACAGAGAGAGAGAGAGAGAGAGAGAGAGAGAGAGAGACTCAAAAACAGTTTATCCTTAACAAGAGCACAAGATTTAGATGCCAACCACTTTTAAGTGGTAGAAGAATCTGCGGAAGTAGCAAAGACAATAATCATGTATAGAGTTCAGCAAGAAAGCTCCTTTACAGGCAAATTCGCACCAGGAAAGCTAGCAGGGAGATCACAAAGTTTAGGCACACAGTTCATTCGTACCTGGCTGACCATGAGCTACGAGAACTCCTGCAGAAAGGGCAAGCACGATCCAGAGCTTGGTGATGGACATTCTTTCTCTCTTCTACTTTGGCACCAATAGGAACAATGCATTCTTAAAGCACCTCTCTTCTGAAGTCAATGGCTCCTCTAGTCGATCACAGGTTAAGTAGAACCTGGAGAATCTCGGCATTAAAGAAGTCGACTTCTGACTTTGTCAAAACACAAGAAGAAACAGAGAAAGACGCAAAGAAAAGGACAGTACTCAAATCTCGATTCATGTTACAGATCTCTTACACATTGCAACGAGCTTGAAGTACCTATTGCCGGTATCCTGTACCTAAACTTCTTGTTACTCGATATCATAGGTCGGGATGTCAAGTGGTTTAACTAAACTAGATATCATAGCTCTCTGAGATTGTTATTACGAGGAAAGATGCAGTGAAAGAATAAAAGGAACTGCTACTTTCCATGGACAAGGGGGACTTCAGGTGGATTAAGGAGCGGAAATCTAAAGTCAACTTGCAGGACAACTTCAAGAATTTTCTGACGTAAGATTCGAAATCAGCAAAAAAGCTACTTGGACTTGAGACAATGGAGAGTTTTGTATGATAGTCCTTTTTTACTCTTTAATTTGTTCCTTCTGGTTTGTGCTGCTGTTCTCTTGTCCCTCTTGTTCTCTGCAGTGTACCTTTGTCATCCTTCATGTAAACATTCTCTTTGCTGCTCCAGTGTAGCAGATACTTAGATATTAATTGTATTTGATCTTTTGAATTCCACATGAAATAGATATGGATTAGAAAAGCAGCATATAACTTCTGAACATATAAAAGCCAGCCATAGTGGCCTACAAGTTACGGCAGATTGTTCCTATTGTACAAAGTAAACTGGAGATCGTAAGTTTTCAGGCACACATCTCATCTCGTGCCTGACTGTCCGCCAGCCATGACCACTCCTGTCCAAGTAGGAAGCAAAACCAAGTAGTTTGACGCCAGTAGGAAGTCGAGACATCGCGTCTTTCTTGCGCTTCGAAAAGCCAATGGCTTTGTAGTATACTCCGGCTAAGCAAAACCTAAATCTCTCTATAAAGAAAGGTGTGGCTTTGACCGTCAGCAATCAGATTCAGAACACAAAGGACGAAACGGATACAAGCTGCAGAACCGTCGGCGTAAGACATTCTGTGACGGCACACCTATCTTTTCTTACTGGACATGAATAACTGAACATTCACCAATTTCTGATGGCATTCGTGGTTGCCTTACCCCTCAACTTTGCCATTGAATGAGGACTCTAAAGAGAACTATCGGCCCTCCGGCGTGGTGATGGTCATCTCATTTAAAGAACAATTCGCAGCTAACATCGATGCGTGTTCTGCCTCGGCTGCAGTTGCCACTGTGAAGAAAGCAGGCTGCTTAGGATCCGCCAAAGCGACACTTTCATTACCAAGCATAGCGATGACATCCGACATGGTGGGCCTGTCACCAGCGTTTTCTTGGACGCACATGAGCGCCACATGAATGCACCTCGACACCTCCCAAGATGGGCATCCATCGCCTAGAGATGGATCCATAAGCTCCGACCATTTACCTGCTTTCCATAGTTCCCATGCCTGTGCCAATCAAACCAAGTAATAAGAGCTTAAGTTGGTTGATACATGTTCATATCACCAAGTTATACTCACATGACCCAGAAGGTTGAGTGCATTCCCCCCATATTGATGAAAACCTGCACTTCTCTTTCCAGTTACGATCTCCAGGAGCAGAACACCAAAACTGAAGACATCAGACTTGATCGAGAATTGACCCTGTGAAGCATACTCAGGTGCCATGTACCCACTGAAAGGTATAATAAGATGATACACTTACTGTCAGCACATGCATATCGATTTTATGGAATGCGCTGATGTAGTCATCCATCACGAAAAATGCGTTACACTTACTATGTTCCAACAACTCTGTTTGTGTTTGCTTGTGTTTCGTTTGAGCCAAAAATTCTGGCCATGCCAAAGTCCGATATCTTAGGATTCACGTCCGCGTCCAGGAGAATGTTGCTGGCTTTCAGATCCCTGTGAATGACACGCAGTCTGGAGTGCTTGTGAAGATAAAGAAGGCCTTGAGCTATCCCTTCAATGATATGGGCGCGCTTGCTCCAGTCCAGAAGGGCTCCTCTGGTTGAGTCTGACAACAGATAGATAAATTCAAGCATGATGCCAAGAGTTCAAATAGATGCAAGTAAAATGAAGCAGCAAATCTTAGTCAAAACCGACCGAATAGGAAGAAGTCCAAGCTCTTGTTGGGCATGTATTCATAGACGAGTAGCTTCTCCTCTCCTTGAATGCAGTATCCCAATAGCCTTACTAAATTCCTATGCTGAAGCTTTGCTATGAGAATAATTTCATTACTGAACTCGAGTAGCCCTTGTCCAGAACGTGCAGAAAGTCTTTTGACAGCTATCTCCTGTCCTTCTGGCAATTGGCCCTGAAAAAATGTACCAAAGACCTCCATTAAATACAATGAGTGGTGCATCTAAAAGCCTGTAAATTTGCTTTGTACTCGAGTCTTCCACAGCTCTGTAGGTCAAATTTGCTTGTGTTTTTTCTTGTCTCTACATAACCGAACAATCTTTGCTCAGGCTGATATGACTACCAATTCTACTTGATCCTTGCAAGACCTGTTTGAATTGGTTTGCAAATATATTTCATGTATATGACTTAAAAAGAGCTCAGCTACTAAAATATTAGCTCTCAGCGAAGCTCGAGCACACAAAGGTCCGTTCGGAGTGTTGTATAGATATGATACCTTATAAACAGGTCCAAACCCACCCTCTCCAAGCTTATTCTCGGCTGAAAAGTTGCTTGTGGCTTTTTCTATATCTGAGAAATGGTACAGCAAGAACTCTGCAGCTCTGTCGCCTTCTCCGATCTTAATTGGTAAGTGATTCACCAATGCAAGTAATGATTTCTCCTCGTGTGACCTTTTTGTGTCTGATCGGTTACATAAGGTGAGAATCATAAACAACATATGCATAAACAATGAGGACTCACAGTATCTGCGACATCATTACCTCTGCTTCTCCGTTTTCTGATCCACAGAAAACACATGAGAGAGCAAGACAGGAGTAATGCAAGAGATGCTGCTACTGAGGCCATGATTTGCAGCAGCTTCCTCTTTTTCCCTACAAAATGTGCTAACGTTAGATGTCACACTAAATCCCCTGCTTAATTTAGAGCAATAATGAGGCAGATGTGTCCTGAAAATTTTCCCACAAAGGTGCCTATAGTGTGTATTGTGTTCTTTTCAGTTACCTTTATGATCTGAGGAGATCTTGGGTTCAGATACTTGCGCTCCTTGAGACTCGGAATCAGCAACTCGAATGTACAAAGTTCCAATGGTGATGTTTTCACCACCGTCGACTTGTTGCAGATTTACAAGGTCCCCTTGCCATAAGCTACAACCTCCGGAGAAGGCATAAGCAGTACAGTTACAATGTTTATGGCAGGCTGATTCACAGTCTTTGGCATCCGAAACATCCAATTTAGTTGCATTTGCATTGAACTTCATATGGGGCATCACCACAAACTTATCTGGCTTTTCTCCGCTCTCGCATTGCAAGCTGGTTTTCCTGAGGCACCCTCCTCCTGTGCTTCCTTCAAACCAATCTTGCAAAGATGCTGGCTGAAAACCAGGCAAGCATTCGCAAGCCTTTGGTTGTATCGCTTCATTGCAAACGCCAAATGCCCCACAGAGGTCATACACATTGCATTGGGTGTGTGGTTGAGACCAGAACAGTATCCACGATGTTTCGATCTCTAACCATGTCATTTGCTGGATTTGACCTGAAATACCGATAATTAATCTTGAAATGATAGAGTCATCCTTCATAGAGTAAGTGAAGTACAGTTCGTGTTGGTCATGGACGAATTCATAATTGAAGATGTAGTCTGGAGTCATCTCAGGAACCGCTCTGAACATTTTCCCGTCCCAATCCCCACTGCTCCAATAAGGAGTCCCTTTCTTCCAGATAAGGAACTTGGGCTTGCCGGTAGGATCGAGGCCTAAAGAAAAATCTCCGAGAGCAGGATCATCTTTGCTTTTCCATGACGTAAGCAACCGGTTCTGCCGGCGATTCAGTCCAAGCTTCATACCGGGGAGGAAAGTATCAGTAGGATGATCGAAGCTCTGCCACGAGACCATCGACGTGTTATCGCTACTCCTCAAAACAAGATTGCCTGAATCCAGGATGGTCGCTTCCCTGTTGTTCGTCCCAAGACCGGAGGCCAATACGGATGAACTCCCCCTGCCGTCTAAAAGTATGAGATCCCCATTGTTGTCGTCGAACATGAGCACACCGGATTTGTCTGCGATCGCGTTGTCTCTGTTAGCCACCCATACCGGCGTTTGCTTTTGCACTTTGTGATACCATATGCCGACATAGCGGTTGGTCGAGCTGCCGGGACTGAAGAAGCCAAATTCGAAGGTCTTGTTGGCAGAGACAAGCGTTTGTCCATCTCGGAGGGATTGGGATGGCAACAGGGTGTCTGCCGCAATCGAAAACACGATCCGTGAAGCAGTGGATATGATCAAGAGGGGGAGGAGGATGCAGCGGCCAGTGGTGCCGCCCATTGTGGCGTAAAGCAAGTTCCGAGCTCCCTGTGATCTGTAAGGTAGATATGGTCGAAAAGTCTATGTGGAATGGTACGACAAGAAAGAAGCATCGGAGTAGAGTAACCGAGTTGTCCATCCGGAGCATTGACTGACTACTCGAAATCGGCAAGTCAAGCTTTGGTGCGTGGAGATGAATGGATCAGAAAGAAATCATCGGTGCGTGCCTTACCTTTCTTTCTTCGATTTGGCTGGCCCACTCGAAGAAGTCGGGAAGCTTCATTGTCCAGTACTTCAATGGAGACGTGGAGCATTCAAAGTCAAAGCACATCTGTGGTAACATCTCTTTTAATTTTGGTGAATAAATCTCCTAATTAATTATTTTTATTATAGATCACATTTCGAAAGGAATTAAATAGATAGTTTCATATCTAATACGACATATTTAACACGTGTCATTAGTTCATAGCCAGCGCGTTGTTAACCCGATCGTGATCGGCGCAACAGTGCTAATTATAATGTACAACTATTCGTGTGACTTTTCATATTCGAGTTAATGTCCAACTATTAAGATGAGATCATTCATGCGGAATACCTTCTTACTAAATATTTAATTATTTTAAATTTAACATCGTCTTTTTCTATGTTACTGCCTCTCCCATCCTTTTTAATATGTGAATATATCTTTCTTTCTTCTTTTTTTTTCTCTCTCTCTCTAGCATCAAACCTTTCCTATGCTAATTACGAGTAACCACTTTGCATACAAATCAAATAATTATATTAAATCAAATTATAATTATTCGACATGAATATGCTTCCAAGTTCGTCGAGACGATGTCACGAAAACAAAATATTCGACAAGGTTCATTTGATGATTAAATTAGTTTAAGTTCGAAGCATTCGATTAAGCATCAAATTTTAAAAAGTTATCAATCCAAAAGAAACAAATATTTGATAACATACCTGAGAGCTTATTTATAACACAAGATGTGACCTTTCGGTCATGATTAATATCAAGAATGATTATGCACACCATCCAATTATGAATGAAATTATGCAACGAATCTTGAGAATAGAAAATAACAGGTTATCAAGTCAATTTTTTATTTCAGTATCATGTGACTGATCTTATGGAGGTGAATCAATCCTCTTGTTGGTGTCATATTGTTAGTCTCATAGATTCAAGCCCTTAAGTGAAGTTGACGAACCGATTAGATAAAGATGACATGTTGACAGTTGTCTATATATTAAATTACACGTGTCAAATTGTAACTACTCCTTGCGGACATATTAGGCTGCAAGAAAGATCATACTCTAAACGAAGAACATTTAAACTGTTCAACGGTGGATGACATGCAACTATCATATGGTTTCGTGTTGTCGGACTCCATACAGATATGCTCTTTAAAGGAGGATGGCAGTAGATTGGATTGGATCAACACGTTTAGCGATTCATAGGTGACAAGATCCGACCCATGTACTCCACTTGATGATGTATTTGCATATACATATGATTTGGTGTCCTTAATCACAATAATCCTTGTGATTTGGTAGAGATATAGTTTCTTTAATAGCTACCAAATCAAGATTATGGAGGGTTCAGATAAATCTTGGACACATATCAGGATCCGATATCGGATCGTATTCCCGCTGCCTTCCGAAAGCATGAAGACGAGAGAGACCCCATCTCCCTCATAAATCAAATGAAAGAAGTCTATCAGTGCATGCTGGGCATCAAAGAAAGCAAAACCAGAAAGGGGTTCAACATTGAGTGGCTCTAATCTTAGTTCATCGGATCATTGAATCAGTGGGTCGGATCATATGTTTCATATTTTTTTATATATAAAATCAAATTTATATATTATATTAGAAATATAAATTATATTATAAAAGTTATTTTATAACACAGTGAAAAAGTATCGAAATAGATAGTAATAGGCGAAATCAAATAAAATGCAGCAGCACAAAATGGATCTAAGACCTCTTGAATAAAAATCAATCAAAAAAGCAAAATTCATTTCAAGAATAGTTTATTTTTTGTTTTTATTCTGAACGATCTAATCAGTGGATCGAATTGATTTAGGTTTGATTCTCGATTTTCTTTTGGATCCGATGAAATTGTCCTATTCGGATTTGATAGCTAGTTTTCCACCAAGCAGACACACACGCTAATTATTAGCTTTAAGTAGCTCTTTCAGTTTTAGAACCCTAACAATTAATGCACAGAGATCGGACGTCGAAAGCATGCACTGAAGTGGCTACTTAAGTGACTTAAGATAACCGTGAGGAACATATCTATCTGAGCAGTGACGATCGTCGTCTCCACATAATTAATATGTGCACAAACAGTGAAGGCCAACGCAAACGAAGATCAAACTAGAGCATTAAAGTCTTAGCTTTTCCGCCACGTTATGATGACCATAATAACCTTGCTATCCTTTCAAAAAGAATGGCAGACCTTAATACAACCACACATGTTTGATCCCAAAGAAGGGTCATCAACATTAGATTTACCGCAAGGGAAAAAGGCGTTCTCGATTATTCGAAGACCAAAGTCAAAGTAGCGTTCGCACTTTGAACAGCAGAGAATTGACCCTATCATAGTCCTAATATACACATGTATCTATCTATCTATCTAATATTTCAATCGGTCGAAGAGTATCTTGCAAAGATCGGCACGTATGATCATGGAACTGCTCAGCTACACCCTAAACAAGATGACTTTTGTAATCATCACGCCCTACTTTCACAACCTTCGTTTCCATCCACGAGCACATACGTTGCTGATTGATATGACGATGACAAGAACTGTGATCGTGCTTTTTCTTAGTCTCTTCCTTTCACGCTTTCTTCACGTGAGATAAGACACCACATTCGTCTGGCCTGTGCGACACAACATTGCCTGCGCATGAACGCTTTTGTGTCGCATGAAGCAGCACTCGCAAGTGATTGAGATTATACGTATCCCATGCTGTGTCAAATCCCATGCAAACAACCTTGGAAACTATACGAATGTTTTTAATGCTTCTGGAAGTGCTCTTGTCCAAAGCCAAAGGAGAACCATTTCCCAAGTTGCACTAGGCGAAGTAAGAGACAAGATTTTCTTGCCTTTTTATTTTTTTTAGGTTAATATCAATACAATTCAAAGAAATAATTAGTTCTACAGGGCAAAATTTTAAATCTAACCTGTAATGGGTGGATCAAAACACACCACCATCAGATCTCATATGGATCATACTTAAAAAGGAACTAAAACTATCATAATTATAGTAATTTTTTTTCTTAAATATCTTCTTTTCTTTATCTTGTTATAGTCAGATCCTTCGGCTTCTTTCCAAGAGGCCTCGTCGGACGACCCGCTTCTTCTCCTCCGCCTCTTCCATCCACCTCCGCCGGAGCTCTGTGGTCAGTGTACACTCGTCCACTTGCTTGATGGCCGCCGCCGCAGCCGTTCCGCGTGCATAGCACCAACAAGCAATGAAGAAGAGCCACGACGACGTCCACAGGATCGCCAAGAATCTCCCCCAGAATACCATCACCACCAGGCTCCCAATGAGTAGAAAGATTGCAATGCCCGAATCGGAAGTGCTCACCGGCCCCCCCGATGGGGTCTTCCTCAGCTCCGGCCCCACGGGATGCGGTGCCTGCTTTCGCTGCGGCTTCTGCTCCGTGGCGTCCGGAGTGGAGCGGAAGGATGGCGAGGACGCGATAGAAAAAAACGATGAGTTAGAGGAGACGGAGGTGGAAAGAATCGACGCCGTCTTCCGGTCGTCGTCATCCGTTGAATCCGATCCCTTCTGCGACGACGGTTGCCTCGACTCTTTCCTCTTCCTATTGCTTCGCTTCTGATATCAATTCATTCATCCAAAACAATCATGCAGGAGAGTAAAATATCCAGTTTGGAATCCATACAAGATCTAAAATTGCAGAAGGAACACATGGACGCAGAACCCGTACCAAGGCAGAGACCGCCGACGACCCCAAGATCTTGGCGACAACCCGTCGGTGGTGGCGCCATCGTAAGTAGTGGGGCGACTCCGGGTTTACGTCGCCTCTGTACGCGTTCGCCTCGTCGTCCAAACTCGAGGCGGAGAAGCAGAAGACTCCCTGGTGCTTTCTACTGCAGTTTCCCATGGCAGCGATGGGCTTCGACTCCAGCACTGGGTTCACGAGAGGCGCGAATAGGAGGAGGAGAAACTACACGAGTCTGTCTTCCTCGTCCAAGAATTTGGTGGGTGAGGGGTGGAAGAGACTGGTAGAGCGCAGTCTATATACATGACAGGGGGGTGGTTTTGGGCATTCCCTGCTGCCTAAGTTTCCCGTACTGGCGATAGGGGAGATGTCAGTGTGGAGGTGAGTGACAGTTCTGTACCTTGTTTTCTCCGCTGGATTCCTTCTCCCTATATCACCATATTGATCCACTCGCCTAGGTAGGTGGGACCCCCTTCGACGGCCACCATCAAAGCGCTGGAGGGCGGATATGGAAGGATAACACACGTGTCTGTTCACAAATTGACTCGATCCCTGTCTTGGTTGGGTTTGACCGATTGACACCGTCTTCTTCACAGGCATCGAGGGTCTCGGAAGGAGGGTATTTTGGTCTTCTGGGTTGAAAGGATGCGATCCTCGAGTTTCCATTTTTGCTCGATCTCCATGGGAGACGCACGAGTGGCCGCTCGACCGAGTCGGTGGCGAGTGATCGATGCATGGAACAGAGTCCTCCCCACTCGGACGACCCAAAATAACGACAGTAGCGTCCGAGCGACTCGTGATCTCATTCCAACATCACAATCGTGCCGGCCTGCCCTCCTCCCACGGCGTCTACAAGACCAGTTCGCTCGATTCCACCGCCGTGGGAAGGACTCCAACATATGAATACCCACCTGGCTAATACTGTAGTATATGGTGTCGGACAAAATCATGATGTGACAAGTTTGAAGCACCGCCAGAACCATGGTGCGTTCTTGCTTTCTGTCCACGTCAGACGCCACATGGATGATAAGAATGGCACATCAAGACTCGTTAATCTTTAATGGGACTACAGCTTTGGCGCCACGAGTAGAAGAACAGAAGACGCAGGCAGTCGGAAGAACAGGCTATGAACTGTTAAAGAGAAGAATTAGCTGCTTATGATGATCATCCTGCGAAATCGCTGTCTTGTCTTGTCCTTTTCTTCTTCCTTGTGACGTTGAGAAATCGCTGTCTTGACCCAAAAATAAGCCAAAATAAACTTCATAAAAAGAGAAACCACGACATGTTTCCTTTATGCGTTTTCACAGCATTCAGCAATACCTTATTTTCATAGTAGTTTCCCTGCTTGCACATTTAAGCACGATGATTGGAAGACTAGAACTGTTAGCTTACATCATGGTCAAATGAGCAATTTATTCCTTCAACATCGAAGATACCTGGCTGATCATTCTTGGACAGGTGCCTCTTGTGCCTCATTGAAGTAATATTCCCTGAAAAGTAAGATCAGATTAAGTAATTGTTGGTCCAACCAAATCTAAAGAGAACATAATTAAGACAAAACTTGATTGCAAGATTTAGCTAACAAAGAGTTACCATCATGCACAAATGAAGCAGTCATCAAAGTTCAGATGGAATAGATTGCAGAAGGAAACAATTAGCACCACAAATGAAGCAGCTGAAAAATATGTTTATGCATTTTGAAGTTCCACGATTACAATTTCCATCATTCGGTAGTCTTTCACGTTTATTTAGCATGGTAGGTGTAATCAGTTCGCCTTGTACTCATGAAAACCATAGTAACTATTGTTATGTCATCAAAGTTCAGTACATTTGTTTCATCAAACAATCACTTACGATTGTACTTTAATAGACTCGTATGGTCAGAAAGCATTTTCATTTTTTTGTCTGATACTGTAAACCGATGAGCAATAACATGAGCATCTAAAGCGTCATGCCAAAATAAAAAAAGAATCCTATAAGGCATTCGTATAGCAAATCTTACATTCTGTGGACAGAATTAGCAAAACCAAACTTAGCATACCGTATTTTGCAAGTAAGTTGATAAAGCCCGATTCCAGGCGTCGTGAGAATTACACTGACAAGGTTCTAGTTCTTCTGCAAAATCAGCACAACAGGAGTATAGTATCAAAAGCAGAGTTCATTAGTTTAGGTATCACATTAGCAGTTGACTCATCGGTCTTTACTTTAGCAATCAATCCAACTTTTGCATTCATTTAAGCTGTTATGAAACTTTCTTCTTTGTTTATGTGCAATAAATAGAAACAGAACTAACTGGTAAACCATGAACACAGCTTTGGTTGCTGCCAAATCTTACGACCATATGACCAATTTGGGGGGAACTCGACATAGTATGTGTTGAGATCTGTTAAGATTTGCTGTGATTTAAATTGTTAAGATCTATCAAAATTTACTGACATGATAGATTAGAATATAATTATTGATTTCTTCCTAATTATATTATCTTATAAGGCTATATCTATATATTATTAATACATAGATCTATTTAGGTAGTTCTTTCTTTCTATTTAGGCAGTTCTTTCCTTTTTTTTCAACTATATATAATTTCTCTATTCAAGCAAGTGAAATTCTCTCCTTTTGTCCTACTCATGGTATTAGATCAAGGTTAGGTTCTGAATTTTTTTTCTCTACCGACTATAGTATACGACAAATTTGTTTCTTTCTCTCGGTCTTTATAATCGGTCCTCTCTAATGACTCTCTTTGTTTTTGGTCATGTCTAAAACTCCTAAGTTTATTTCTAATCTTTCTAAACCTATTCGCACAAAATATTTCCTTTAATTTGACAGTCATACTCTTCAGATCTTTGAATTTTTTTTTTTTGGAATGGTCCCAATCAATTAAGATCTCTCTAATGAGTAAAAGAAGTTCAAATATGTGAATGAGACTACAAAGACACTGGCATCGGAAGATGCTTCATACGAAACTTGGGAGGTCGAGAACATATTGTGGCTGCTTCATTCCATACAACGAGAAATCAGCAAGACAAACATTCTTCTTCCTACGATGAGAGATATTTGGGATGCTGTCAAGAAAACCTACTTCTCAGATTTTTCAAATCAAAAGGTAAATTCAAAAGACAACGCAGGGTACATCAAACATCGTAGATTACTACAATAATCTACAGTCTGTTGGCTAAATTAGACCTATATCAAAATCTAGAAATAGAATCTGTTGTCGATGCTAAAAGGCTAAGAAACTTATTGGAGATGGAGAGGGTATTTCAATTTGTATTGGGTCAAATTCTAAATTTGATAGGTATGTAATCGTATTCTCAGTAGAGAACCTTTTCCTGATTTTGATGAAGCGTTTACCCTAGTTCTAAGTGTTTAAAGCCAGTAAAGAGGCAAATTGTGATAAGCAGAAAATAGCAACGCACCTAAAACCTCTACAAAACAAATACCTTGTATTGTGGTTATCTACCAAGATATGCAAGCTACAATACACTAACAGAGGTGTCAAAATGTTATCTATAAAGGGAAATATCAGTGTGATCAATGTCCAGTACCTGTATCAGATAAATCCAGTGCATGTAACAACTGGATACCAGAGAAATACGAAGATTTCATGTCAGAACTTACAGAATGTAATCACAGTGTGATAAGATGCAAAAGTTTTTCTTAAATAAAATGCGAAACTTTATCTACGTAGACGAACAAGAACTCAAGCGACTTGTTATCAGATGCCTTTTCACATACCAGCTTGATGAGGATAAGAGATCTTTTCAGGTGGCTTCGGGAAATCAGCAATATCTTGCAATGCTGACACCCCATTTAAAAGTTTGGGCCCAGAAATGAACTGTATGCAAGAGAGAAAACAATATATTTGTTGGTCTTACCAATCTATATTAGACAAAAACGACAAATGGAAAAGAGTGATACCATTTCTCCAAATATATTGAGATTGGATTTAATATGAAACGGAAAACTTGAAGCCAGATTAACCGAAAAAGCCATGTTAGATTTTCACTTGACAAATAAATCCATTATTGCATTATATTCACTGTTCTGGAGGACCAAGAACAGATTGATCACAGACCAAATACTGAATCCCCAACTCCGGTTTCATAACTTCCAAATAAAATCATCTATAGTATAAGCATTTCAGATTTAGATATACATTTGCATCGCAATATCGGGCTCCGCCTAAAAGACGAATGATTTATACTATCATCTTACTTCGGGAATGAATCCGAGAACCCTGATGGTATTCAATATGATGAACAAGACGAAAACGCAGAAATATAGCATGACTACAGAATTGATACCTAGGAAGCGAAGAGAAGGGAAGGACACCACCTTCGCCGAAGAATAGGATCGAAAAGGAGCGAGATAGGTTAGTGGTGGGTGGAAGCAAAATGAACCGGCCTTCCCTCAAATTCCTAATATAAAGGCACTCGAACGTCAGCGGCTGCTCTCCAGGGGGGCAACGGCTATTAATTCGATTCATCGAACGGGTCCGGATACCGATCGATGTTGGATCCGAACCGATCCGTCTGATTTCGCGTGCTGCATTTTCCCTGTCTAGAACGGGGCAGGAAACACCACGTCCCTCTCTGGTACTTGAACCACACCCATAACGACAGAAGAATAGTGTGTTCCCTGGCTCGACCGTGATTGCGGGCAACGGATAACGACTTCAGAGACGAAAGCTGATATGAATCCGACGCGCGTGTACGCGCATATTGGATATCGTATGACAAGCTAATTTGACTGACTGATTGTCTTAAAGAGAAATTTGACCCCTTCTTTTATGTTTTTTTGTAACTCAGGCCATTATTAATTCATTAATTTATGGCATTCGTCTGTGTCATACCATAGAAAAATTAGGAAGCGTAGTGCTATGGTCATAGCATTAAAGAAAAGATCTAACCTTTATTCACCGTACAACACCGTTAGATTTTGAGATTTGTGCCGACACTTGATTAGGTAAAAAGGGTAAGACTCCGAGTTTGCAGCGCTCCCAATTTCTCTCGCAGCACGACTTGCATGCATCTCTGCCTTTCCTTGTCTTCCTCTCTGTTGCCAAAAAATCTGAAACTGAAAGTTCCTTATAATACATACATGCACTGATCTGCTATTGTCAGCATGATACATACATGACTGATATGTTCATAAGTTGTTCATTGAATCCAAGAACAAAAGGCCCATACTGGATAACAGGTCTAGGCCTATATAAGATCCATCAACACACATAGCAATCGTGAGTATTGTTGTGCACGTCCATTAAACTGTATCTCAGTAACTATACTGAGGGCCTTTCAATAGTTATAAGCAGGACCAGCTCAGGTGTGTCAGTGCCAAACACTTCCTCTTCTAATAAACCGAATGTTCTCACTGTCATTTTTTCTTACCATGCATATATCTGTGGTTCACACAGTGGAACCGAAAAGCTCTGTTGTAGGCTAGAGGAAGAGCCTCATACATCTGGACAAATCACATTGTCCTGATATACGACTGCCGCAAATACAATGTGGACCTGAGCATCTCCTCTCTGGCACGGTAAGTTCTTAGGATAATAGTGGAAAGTTGATCGAATGTAACATTGCTAGAATCTCTGACCATTACATGTGCTAGAAGGCTGTAGCATATGATTGGACTATTTGGTCTGGAACGACAGACAGCCAACGAACATTAATTAGATGAATAATGTTGGCCTTCTCGTTCATCTATGATTGCCACATTAGCATGACATACGCATAAAACAAGCAGCTTGAGCTTTGTGTGTCACATGAGTGCCCTGAGCATCTAAGAAGAGTGTAGATTCAGCTACAATGGTCTGACAGTAAGGACATTGCTTGCCTTGAGAGAGATGTCAACCTGTTTTAACATTTGTTTCATCTCCAAGACGCATGCGTTTGTCGAAGTGAAAACCTGGATTCACATGTTACCTTGCTTTTGACGAGCAGGGAGATCACGACAGTAGCTCGAGACCCTTCGATGGCCAGTGGGGGACGGCAACAAGAGCTAGTGCCAAGTTCGTCTGTCTTTTGAGAAATCCTTCAATGGCCAACGACCCCATGCAAGAAATGCCATCGAGGAACGACAAGGTTAAACATCTTTGTCTGGATTAATTTAGCTCTCTTTCATTCTATAGCATTTTGCCGAGAATCCAACAGACTGATCCATTGACTCTCCAGCGTTTGGTCATGACGTTATATTTTGTTCTGAGATTCGACATCCCTGGAAGCGACATATATGCGTGTTCATAGTTCAGTGACAGTATGCTAATAGTTAAATATCAATGTACGATCGTGAATCACAATCAAAATTTAGTAGCTCGTCGCATATACTCCTTGATATCATTGTCACACTGTCAGAAGTGGCGCCTACTGAGCCGTGAGCGGGTACTGGGCATCAGCAACAGCTTAGGTTGGCAGACGATGTCCCGTTGGAATTAAGACATGGAAGGACAAAGGTTAGTTACGAAACTGAGGGGTTGGCGGAGGGACCCTCGGGGTCACAAGAAGATAGATAGATGCAAAGGGACAGGAGGAAGCTCAAGCAGGGGCTTTCCTTTCTTTCAAGCACATCTAGTAAAACAATCCGCCAAAGACGGGGTCGTCTTCTTCTTTGCTGGGATATATAACTATCGAGAAAAATGAGTGGACAGTTTTACCGACGCCATGTTCAGAATAAAAAACGCAAACATACGAGGGAGGGACAGTGAGTAGCTGATACGACAACGACGGCAATTACGATACCACCATGCCTGTAAGCATGGTCGAATCATCTTCTACACGAACACACGTTTCTGTATATCCCGACGACTGTGTTGGATCTCTCAAGATCCAAGGATTGTAGCGTTGCTTAAGCTGTGTTGTGGAGCACAAACGCCAGATCTCAACTGCTCTTCGCGCATATTGATTGATACATTGTGGTGCGCTGCAGGATGACAAAGCCACAGCTGCCACCCCATACACGTATGGGTCCCTGCATTAAATTTGAGATTCCCCACTCCCTCGAGTTCCGTTGACCACCTCTGGGAGTAATCTTGTACTGGCTCACTATTGAAGCAACCGGAACATTAACTAAAAGGCTGCTCAAGTTTTTATATCCTCTTCCGTGCCACCTATGAGTTGTTGTTACGATATCTAAATATTTTTTATCATTAATATTTGATTTTTTTAAAATTTACGATGTGGTGCAAAATTCATAAGAAGGAATACAGTGTCGAAGGTCTCGGCGCATTAAAGATCACCAGAAGCTGCAGCTGGGGAGTAAACCGTAGGGTTGAGGCAGGTCAAACATGGTAACATGAATGCGTTGTCGGCTCCAAGGAGATGGTGGTTTATTTGCTGCGTTGCCTTGCTGATCGAGCACACCGCATCGATCGACCTCAACATGCAGATTACCACTCTTGT